ATTATATGCTTTTTTCTTTATTCAAAACTTTGAACATGTTTATGAACTTTGAACCTAGGTTCAATAGGAACACTAATTAGCATTCTTGTTGAGATTTTATAATAGTGATTTGTTTCTTATTAACATGTCATGTGTTTTAGATTTTACACATTTTTTTTTAAACTTTATGTATCTTTACATATTTTCGAAACATCTGATAACAACTCATAAAAAGAGTATATATTAAAATAAAGATAATAAAAAAAAGCAAATATAGATGTATTTTGAAAATATATAATAGTGATTTGTTTCTTATTAACATATTACATATTTAGATTCTATGCATTTCTTTCATATCTTGGAAACCTACAATCTTAATTTATGGTAAAATTCTCATTTTAGATATTTTGTTTCAAGTTTTATTGCCAAATTTAAGGTTTTTTTCCTTATAGATGTCTGAAACTCAAAATTCTTATAATGATTTTGATAAATATATAAATTACATAATGTCATTATATTCTGAAGATAATTATAGCTTTGCTTCTTTATCTATTAAGTGTGGTACTAATACCTTGCTTGTATCTGAAAATAATTATAAAGGTGTAAGTAAATGAGTTAAAAACAACATATTTGTAGATAGTGATTCTTTAAATAAGCATATAACTAGAAATATCAAAAATATTATATTTGAAGGCGATAATTTTGAAGATGATACCCTTGTCTATATTTGAAACTAATTATAAAGGTATAAGCAAATATGACGATTTTGAAAATAAGTTTATAACTAAAAATATTAAAAATAATATATTTGAAGATAGTAATTCGGAGGATAATATCTTACCTAAATTTAAAAATATATATGAAGATATAAATAAAGATATTATATTTGAAAGTAGTAATATTAAAAATGAGAATGTGACTAGAATGTTTTTGAAAGTAACTTTGAAGATGAGTTAAAAGATAGCTCACTAAAAGAATTATATACTAAGCAAATCTTTATTTCTTTTAAATTGCTTGAAAAATGTTTAAAACGCTATTCAACTCAGATAGGTTTTAAAACAAAGATTGTACAAGTTGAAAATAAAAATAATATTTGTATTCGAAAAACATATAAATGTCGACATGGTGGTAAATATTTATCAAAAAAACTAGTAGATCTTACAAAAAATAAAGAATAGAAATCAGCATATATTAATTGTAAATTCGTACTAAATACTTCATATTGAAAATGCCAAAATCTTGTCTTTGTTAACAAATTTAATGAAAAGCATAATCATGAATTGAGTAATAGTAAATCACTTCAACAATTTTTACCATCTTTACAAAAAATACCTTTATATATAAAGGATGAGATTTAGTTTTACGTTCAAAAATGTTATTTAGGAGTAAATGTTTTGAGGTGAATATTAAAAACAAATTTCTGAACAAGAAATATATAATAGAGATCTCTATAACATGGTAAGCAAATTTAAAGCTAATACGTAAGACAAAAATGATGCATTAACTTTGTATGAATATTTAACAAAATTAAAACAAGAAAATCCTGACTGGTATTTTTGAGGGCATAGACAATAGACTTTCCAGAATTTTTTGGATGTTTTCTGAACAGAAAAGTTTGTGGGCCTGGTTCTATGATGTTATTATTAACGGCAATATCTGCAAAACAAACAAATATTTGATGCCTTTGAGTGTTTTTGTTATAATTAATTCAAATCAACAGAGCCACATTATAGCTATAGCTGTAGTTTCCGACGAAACTATATCAACCTATGAATGGATATTGAAACAAACAAAATTAGCAACTGGCAATATTCAACCAAAAGCAATTTTTACTGATGCAGATTTTGTAATACAAGTAGCTATATTTACTCAATATCCTGATACTATAGTTTGGCACTGTGCATTTTATATCTATAAACAAATTTAGTTAAAAAAATTAAGAAAAAGCTTAATGATAAATAGGATGAGTTTATTTCTAATTTTTATACACTTTGAAATTCTCTTGTAATATTTAACTTTGATTATCATTGAATAGAGCTAATAAACAAATATCTAGAAGTTCAAGTATATTGTACTCAAGTATTATATCCAACTAAGGAATATTAGGCTTATGCATTCACAAACTAAAATTTTTTAGCAAATACCTATTTAACACAACATGTTAAAAGTATGAATTGGGTTATTAAATTAGAGGCAAATTCTGAAAATTCATTATATCAGCTACAAGCTAGAATTAAATTGCGGTTAAAAGATGAAGCAAAGTATACAAGATTGCAAAAATTTTAGAATATGAATCCAACAACAGGTCTTTCTAATGTTACTAGTACAATTTGCAAAATTGTAATCTGTGCTCGGTTTGTTGATCACATAACAATGTTCGCAGAACATCTAAGCACCTGATGTAAGTTTATGCATATACATACACATTCGCCTCCACATAACAAATATATATAAATATATGTTTAAGATTTTTTTATACTTCTTGCCATGTCTTTTTTTCCATCTTGTGTGTTTTTTTAATATGTACTAAAATTTTACAGGTCTTTAAAATTTTACATATATAAATTAAAATTATCATAATTTTAAAAACTTATGTATTTTATGATTATTTTTATAAATAAAAAAGCGAATCAAACACATATTTTATTACTTAGGATCTTAAACGCATATTTTATTACTTAAGAATCTTAAAGCTTATCAAACATATATATGCATACTTTGAAATTAAATCATAAATTTTTTGATTGTAAATTCATATACTGTAATTATATTAATTTTATATTTGATTCATCTATTTGGCCAGTTTTCTTTTAAAGCTTGTTAAAGATTGTGTGCTTGCCTTTTTTACATGAAGGCATAATAAACCAGCTTAGATCTTCTTGTGTTTTAGTTTTGCATATATTATTATATATGCTACTACTTGGTCTTCCTTGTTGTAGTTTTTTAAGTCCATGGTTTGGTCCTTTTCTGCGCCTAGCAGCCGCAGTGACTTGAACTTTGATTCTTTTACTACCATGTTGGTAACTTTTACCATTAACTTGACCTGTATTCCAATTACAAGTTTGAAAAAAAGAAGAAATTGCTGGCCGGACGTAAGTATCTTGTATAGATCAACGTTGCTTATATATTTTAACAAACTTGCATACACTTTGGTCTAGTACAGTGTTATATTAGTATTATATTAGTACTTTAAATTTTCTATTACGTATCTGTGTATAACTACTAAGTATAGTACAAATATTATTTAATCAATAGAATCCTTAATATTAGTTTTATTAGTATAGTTTTTATAGCTTTTCATTTAAACCAATAGTTAACAAATAATTAAGTCTCATTGGTTAGTTTCTTTGGCTAGTTTCTTTGGCTAGTCTCATTGATTAGTCTCATTGATTAGTCTCATTAACTAGTATCTTTGACAAGTCTTTTTGACAAGTCTCTTTGACAAGTCTCTTTAACAAGTCTCTTTGGCAAGTCTCTTTGACACAATAGTACAATAACACAGATTATAATTAGTAATTATTTAGGATTGTAAAAGATATATAAACTCAGCCTTTTTCCCTAAGGCTTGAGGTAGATTTTGTCTTAGATTTGGTTTTGGACTTAGACTTGGTCTCCTGTACTTTCTTCTTTTTATCTAATAAACTGATATAATCTTTAAAATACTTACTTTATACATGTTTTATATTCTGTTATCTTCTTTTATAGTAGAATTATTGTCTTTTTATTGTTCTT